CAGCCTCTCTGATGGTATGGAGGTGTATTAGCCAGCCTCTCTGATGGTATGGAGGTGTATTAGCCAGCCTCTCTGATGGTATGGGGGGTGTCTTAGCCAGCCTCTCTGATGGTATGGAGGTGTATTATCCAGCCTCTCTGATGGTATGGGGGTGTATTAGTGGGTAACTGTCACATCTATGAARKCACCATTGATTCTGAAAGCTACATTCAGGTTTTGGAGCAACATGCTGCCATTAAAGACGTCCTTTTCAGGGACGTCCTGCTGGTTTCAGCAAGACAATGAACGAAGACACATTCTGCACAGGTTAGTGCACTACAGCATGGCTTCAGAGTAAAAGAGAGCAGGAACTAGACTGTCCTGCAGTCCACACCTGTCTGCTGGCTTGTTGTGACGGCGCTATATAAATAAATTGAATTGAATCAAAAAGGTTAAWGACTTTATAGGCACACAAAGGCACATTGATTCACTTCTCTTCAGTGTCCACATCACCTCTGGGCCAGCCTTTGGTATCTCCACTTTGCGTCTCCCACTGGCTGGAGCTGACGGTTTCCAGGATTTGCTGATCACAGCTGCTGAAGAGAAAGTTGTCTTTCAGCATGCTGACAGCAACTTGGGCCCCATCTACCATGAATTATAGCTATTCTTTCCCAGTTTAGTCTGAGCAGCATATTGGAGTGGGTTCAGGGCTTGGTATGATCCAACACTATGACCAGTACCAGCAGCTCAACCTGGTTACCGGCCTCTGATAATTCACGTCCCCCTACATGTTTTCTGCAAAGTGGTATGAGTTCCTGGTTTATGGAATCCACAGGTAATAGTCTGAGGTTTTATATTCAGTTCTCAGTTTTTAATAAAACATTTTATAAAATCTCAGTGCAAATGAACAAACTTACAGTTTCATGAACACGATGCTCTCTGCATTCAGAGGCTTTTATTCTTTGTGATTAATCTKAAAGTAATCTTTTATAGGAGGAGCCCAAAGTGGGAGCCAAATTTGGTCCACCAGCAGCTGTTGTCTTATGTAGAAACAGTATTTCAACTTAGTCATTTCATCCATTGGCCCAATGACTACATAAGGGGCTGTAGTGCAAATAGTTTTCACTCATGGAGCATATATTAAGATTAAACACAAAACAGGAAATACAATAACAAGAGATATTTAGATTAGATTTGACCACATGTATATTTGCACACTTTATAAGGCCACAAAACTCATATTTGATCAATTTATAAAATGTCTCATGAGTCTTTGCTACTTGAGCATTTAGCAAACTTTCTCCAAGTGCACAGACTAAAACAAATGTGAGCCACCACACTGGCTGCTAGCTTAATCGTTAACAATAACGGACTTTACTTAAAAAGTATTTGTATTTCATGTATTATATTATTGCATTTGGCCCACAAACCTGGATAGATTTTCATTTTGGCCCTCTTGGGGAAAATGTTTGGGCACCCCTGGTTTAGAAAAATTCATTTTTTTAGGTTTCTGATTTTCTAAGAGAATACAACCCAGCCTTATTCCAACAGGTTCTGTAGGTTGTGGAGTGTACCGAGGTCACTGTCCAGTGTGAGTAAATGCTTTTAAAGGGTTTTAAAGGCTCATAAGGGCACACTGATCTGATCTGTGGTGAGCTCAGAGTCTAGTTAGACACAGTTGCAGTTGAGGAAGTCTTTATGTGCACTGGTGAGGACTCTGACTCTCTGATTGGTCTGTTCCTGCAGGTCAGAGATCAGCTGGAGCAGACGAGGACTTGGTTTGTTGACGACCCAACTTGGGTCAGTTGGGTCAGGTCGATGGAAAGAATCCAAGATTTCCAAAGTGTGAAGATGCTGAAGTTCCCGCAGATTCAAAAAGTCATCATCTGGCACGTGAAGGTGTCTGAAAGCAAAAGAAAGCTGTTTTTTTTCCAGAAACCTTTTTATATTTTTTTTCTGCAAAAAGACAAAGTCCTCAGTGAATTTCCTGTTTGACTCACCTGATGGCGAGACTTTGTAGGCGAGGAAACAGCTGTGGGAGGAGTCTGACCAGGTTGGAGGAGGAGCTCCAGGGCTCCAGGTGGAGGTGTTGCAGGTCAGGAGCTCTGGAAGACACCACCTGCAGGTCTTCAGGCTGAAGATCCACACACAGAGTCAGGCTGAGGAGGGACGCTGGAAGGAAGTTTGCATATGCTGCCAGAGGATGTCCTCCTGAGAACAAAAGATGTCTCTGACTCAGATGGTGTCAATGTGAACCTGTCTACTGTAACAAGGTTACAGCTGTCTAATGGTACATTCACACCAAACGCGTTTTGAGCATCAGGAGCATCTGGTTTAAAAGCAAAGTCAATGGTGGATGCGCATCTAGGGGCGTCTAGAAGCCGAGCAGCGTGTCTGGTGCATTTGAAGCGGCGCGGCTCGAAGCAGTGCACGCGCGGCACGTCCCAAGCGTCCGACACGTGAGTTGGAAAATCTGAACTTATGCTGCTCGATGCGTCACATCAACCAGAGACTCATTTTTCCACGTGTCAGTTTCCTGAATGTTGCCCACTAAACTGAAACAGATGAACAGGAGATCTTTACCTGAAATCGACCATCTGCAGTTGGATTTTGTGGCTGGAGATATAAGTGCTGATGTGGGTCAGCTGGTCCGGCCAAAAAAAATAAAATAAAATAAATAAAAAAAAGGTCAGTCAGCTGGCAGCTTCTGGAGCGATGAAATGAACCGAACAAATCGCCTCTAAATCATCTTGTGAGTTAATTATCTGCTGTGCGCATCGTTCACTTGCTCTTTAGTAAATAAATCAAAGCCATTTTCTTTTATTTAATCTTTATTTCACCTGCGAGGGCAGACGCTCCTCCCACACCCTGCTGCTGCTGCTGCTTCTCGTTCTGATCTGTGAATGCGCCTGTCCACCATCATGATGCGTGCGTTTTGAGATTTTTGGAGGCGCGCAACGCATTTGGTGTGAACGTAGCATAAGTGTCCTCCTGTTACATGACCATGCAATCTCCTGTTCTCCCCAGGCGTTACAGTTCCTTTATCCAGGACCCTCTGTCTAACAGTGGTCATAAAAGTAACCGAACTCTATAATCTAAGTTAGCAGTTAAAAAAGTCAAAGATCAACAGAGGGAGGAATTACGATAATTTATTGACCACTGCTTCTTCAGCCACCAAGCCGCTGTCTCACGTCCTATTGAAGCTACACCCACATATAGGGAACAACTTGAATTCATGCTCTTATTTTGAAGTGAAGACGGTTTCCTATTGTCCGTCCTTTACCCAGAATGCATCGCTTCATTTCTTCAATAAACAGTTAAAAATTACTAATATATTGCATGCTTTCTTACTAAAGCCCTACCATAAACAATAAAATGACCAAGAAGCAGCAGAACTAGCAATCCACAACAACTGTTTATTTATCACCATGAGCCAAAAGTCTGTTTCAACAAATCACCTCCCTGAACTGCGGCATCATGTGCAATGCTGTGAAACTAATCTGTCATGCCTGTAGTTGGCAGTAATGTGCAAGAATGGCTCATATTACTGGAATATACTCTGGTAATCTGAGGCAATTTTTCTCTTTAGAGTTAGCTTCCACTATTTGGAATATGCACTTTAGATCTTGCGGACATAAATAATTTTGCAAACGCATTAGAATTTATGCAACTAACTTTTGAATCAGCACTGCCCACCACTGGGTACTGGTAAACGCCTATGGTAAAGTATGAGGGCCAAAATTTAGACTAATGAGCAATCAGCGGTTGCTACATCCTTGTAGCAGGAGGGTATGGCTGTGTTAAAATTCAGAGGCTGTGTCCTCCGAAGGACCTGGCCTACCCAGTCTAGGTGGGCTGGGTCCTTGATAGACCGTGAAGACCAGAAAAAAGTGGCCGTAAATTTGGACAGTCCAGCCTCCTGTCCTTACCCCGGCATTCGTCCTGTCTCCTAGGTGCATGTTTATTACTCTATACCAGCTTTTTTTTATTTCTGATAAGAATAATATGTCTATACAAATTGCAAAAACATTAACAACACACCCGCTTGAAACATTTAATTTTAATTTTTAATTTTTCCTGGAAAAATAACTTATACTAAAGTCCCACATACTTCTCAGGTTGAGAGTCAATAACCTCTTTTGCATACCTTAAAATGTCATCATGTTTTATGATTTTACTCTTTATCCTCTGTTTTCTCTTGGATAAAGTGTTTCACAACCAGGACAATATCTGTTTAGAAATAATCATTCTTCTTGCTGTTTATCAAACATCATTCTCTCCTTGGCCCAGTTTCGGCACCAAGATTGTCTGTTTAGAAAACATACTGTATAAATGTGTGTATTTGAAACTGCCTCGGTGCACACATTTTGTACCACTGCCCTGTATGACATGATGTGTGTCTTGCAGTTGCACTAAATCCTGTTGACCATTTCACGGAGTACTTTTTATTCTTCATTCTCATGTTTCTGTCTAGGTAAAGTAAGGATTTCCGAAACACCGACGTATTTTCAGTTAAAACTGTACTATTTTCTCTCGCTTTGTCCGCACGAGCAGAAAAAAAAATCTACGGTCAGCCCGCCATGCATTTTGGGATAGGGTGGGCCGAGAAGGAACAGTCGGACCAGTCCTCCTTCAAATCGGGACAAAAGGAGGATGCTTAAAAATTAAACAAAACATATTGTGAAGCTGACAGTTTTAGTTGCCACCTGAGTGAATTAGCAGCTGTGTTTGCCCTTGTCTATTGGCCGACTGCTGTGTTTTTTCCTCTTTAACTGAATTATGAGAAATATTTGTAGATGGCATTATAAATTATAATTCAATATAGAGTAGTCTAATTTAATACACTGTCAAAAACTGTAAGATGTCCCAACTTGATAGTTCAGACTTTTCTCATAATTCGGCTTAAGAGAAAAAAAAAACACAGGGAGATGGCAATCCAGTAGGTCACTAGCCTAGGCATGCTAGTTGCTAGCCTCTCCAATGCTAATGCCAGCTTGTCTATGCTAGCCGCTAGCCTCTCCAATGCTAACGCCAGCTTATCCATGCTATTTGCTAGCCTCTCCGATCCTAATGCAAATGAATAGTCTCTTTCTCATTTGCCAGCGATAAGTTTTATCCTTATATTCTTTCAAAGAAGTAAAGATTTGCTTCTTATAATGTATGGAGGACTGGTCATTAAGTAATTACTTAGGATGATGATTTTACTGCTAGTGTGAGAGGCAGGATACACCTCGGAAAGGTTGTAACACAAGACAAACAATCATCCACACTTTTACATAAAACATACATTTGCTGCTGGGAAAAAAATGGAGTTGAATACACACAATTGGAGAATATCACAACAACTCAAGTCCATCACATAAAACCTTTCACATGCTCACTTACACATAGGGACAATTTACAGTTACCAATGTAACTAAACATGCATGCTTTTACCTGGAGAAAACCCACGGGTGCACAGGGAGAAATTGGAAACTACACCCTAGTTAAGCTCCAGGCCAGGGAGGTGAGCTCTATCCTCTCCTCTGCCGTGTAGCCAATAAAAATATTATGTTTAAAACAACAAAAAAAATCAATGCCAGTGTTTGATCTGTCTGTCCAGTTAACCACAGCTAGTTCAGACTAAACTCACAGAAATCAGGGCTAAAAATGAAACACTACCATGCACGCTGAGGCTGACGAGTTCCTGCACAGATGACAGCCATGTTTGCAGGTGACAGGTAGGTCCAGGTACGGAGTAAAGGTGAAAGACTGACAAGCTTCGAAGGTTGGTCAAAGGTTTCAGAACGTCTGGTGTGACCACCGCATCGTAGTTCAGCAGCTGCAGTTCAGAGAGCTGAAGAGAGGCTCCTCCAGCTGCAAACAAAACAACATGTTTGCTCTGTTTTCAATCAATCTGTCTTCTTTAAAGGGATCCCCGATTAGTTGCAACATTAGACTTTATTTGATAAACATATATATTTAACTGTAAAATAAAGAAAATACTGTAGGATGTTTAGTTTTGTAAATTTTTAAAAATATATTTTAACATGGACGGGGCCATTTCATTTACACGCAAAGCATTCTGGGTAAATAATAATGTCAACTAGGTCATTGGTGTGAGGCTGCTAGCGAGCTATATCCACCCTGAAGGTTAATCTTGGACAATATCTGATGATCGACTC